TGACCCTACTTCTATGATTCTATGATTCTATGATTATATTGTCATATATCATATAACTGATATTTGATCTGCTATATCTATCCATCTATATAAATATAGATATATAAAACATATATGTCAATACTCCAAACAATGAGTCTTACATACCTCTTCTTGTCTTCAAATATTTACAAATCAGTAGTGGAAAATTAACTAGTGACTTATATTGTTTCCATTATTTTTTTTCTGTTACTTATAACTTGCAGTTTCTTTATATTAAATTGTTTAATGATGAACTTAGGGAACAGGCAAACCTCCCAGGAGATGCTTTAAACCTCCCAGCAACATTATAGAATTCAAAAAAGAAAAATAAGTAAAAAGTAAACTAATATATGAACAGCTAAATTAATAATAAATGCTACTTTTTATTCAAACAGGATTCAAATGGGATTTTGAGTCAGCTCTGGATTCCAGTACAATTCAATTTAGAATAATAGGCTGCTTGCACATGTTTTACACCCCGCCCCCCTCCCCCCCAAATACCCACACTTTACTGGAAGAAGCATCACATTACTTCAACCTGGCCCTGCAGCATCCATAAAGATGCTGGCACTTCAGCAATGACTTTTGGAACTTTTAGCTAAAGCTGATTCACTCAGCTGTTAGCTAAAAGTGCCAAAAAAAAAAGCCCTAGAAAAGCACCCAGTCTTTACAAATGGTGCAGAGCCGGGTTGAGGTAATGCAGTGTCTCTTCAGGGCATGCATAGGGCTCGGTGTAGGAACGCACCAAGTTTAAAGTAAAGCACCATTTCTTTTTTTTTTTTATGTCTGAAAGCACCCCTAACCTACTTCCATATTAAACCAATATATGTTTAAAAGTACAAGCTTGCTAATATGCAAGCTTGTACTAATATTACTAATATGCAAATCTAATGTTTCTCATAAAAGACAAGCTGTGGTTTCCCTCCAATTTTTAGTAGTGACTTAATATCAGGCTGCAGCAATGATGGCTCAAATTGTTAAGCCTTCATTCCATTTATAATATAGAATACAATATATTTGCCAGAATGTTAACAAGTAGAGAATTATAATGAAAAAACCTAACTTTATACTTTTCAAAATAAATGAACAAACTGTTAGTGATACAGTAGTCTTATGTTTGTGCTACTACATTTGTTCTTTCCCCTGCGATTCTTTGAAATGTGGCTTCCAGTCATGAATATGGATTAATGAGATCCACTATATTAAGAAGAACATCTCAAAAGCTAAAAGCATTTTTACCTGCAGGAAATCTGTATTTAGAACCTGGCATCTGAGTATCCATCCACATGTAGCTCCAAAGATTTGCACCTTAATGCAACTGCAAGGACGCAGAATATTTTCCAGTAATTTTTAATTAGTTAATGGTAAATGTTTAATTAACAATATCATTAAAATCTTACCTGGTCTGCAGGAGTACAGCATTTATTTGCCATTTTCATCTGCAGAGAAACAGAAATTAAAGAATACTCAGGGTGACTGGTTGATTTGTTCTAAGATTTACTGTATTAGGTATTGCCAGTGGCAGTTCATACATATTGATATTAGCACCTCAAGATTACAGCTGGAATAATTTTATTGGCCTGGTTTTCTATACAAGAATATGACATTAAAAGAACTTGGTCAGGAATTGACACAATTAAAATTGCCTATATAGACTTACCTCTGTCACTTTGAAGGTACACCTATCTTGCTTGAGTATCAATTAGAAAAGTACTTAAGCATATGTTTAAAGTTAAGTGCGTGCTTCAAACATTTTGTTCACCTGAAGGCCAAGAAAGCACTACCTGGCATAAGCATTGAGGCCCCGATTCAGTAAAGGTCTTATGAACCTGCTTAAAATGAATTACGTGCTTAAATGCTTTTTTGGATCTGGACATCAGTGCAAAGAATGTGTAGCACAAAAAGGTGAAGGAAGCTGCTCAATGTTTCTCCTTAGTTCATCATAAAGCCACAGAGTTTTTGATTCTTACACAAGCAATCCTAACATTTTCTTTTTCTAATTTTTACATTATTTTCCTTTACTAATGTGTATAAATCCTACATTTAAAAATAAAGCCATGAAATTCCACCACACAGAATCATAGAAAATTAGAGTTGAAAGGGACCTTAGGAGGTCATCTACTCCAACCCCCTGCTCAAAACATCACCAGCCCCAACTAGATCATCCCAGCCAGGGCTTCATAAAACTGGGCCTTAAAAATCTCCAGGGACAGAGATTTTACCACCTCTTTAGGTAACCCGTTCCAGTGCTTCATCACATTCCTAGTGAGAAAAAATTCCCTAATATGCAAACTAAACCTCCTTTGCTTCATTTCTTCTTGTTTTTCCATCCGTCAGGGGGTACACCAGCACTCTCAGGAGGTGCACGTACACCCCTGTGCACACCCTATCATTTTCATTGTCCCTCAGCCTCTCCTCTTAAATCATGTACCCCAGACACTAAACCATTTTAATTGCCCTCTCCTCGACACAAAACTGGACACAGTACTCCAGATGTAGCCCCACTCCAGCGCTGAATAGAGGAGAAGAATCACTTCCTTCAGTCTGCAAACAGTGCTCCTACTAATGCAGCCCAGTATGCTGCTATCCTACTTCAGAACAAGGACACACTGTTGGCTCATATTCAACTTATTGTCTGCTGTAACGGTCCTTTTCTGCAGAGCTGCTGCTTAACCATTCAGCCTGTACTGGTGCATGGGATTGTTCCATCCTAAGTTCAGGACTTTGCACTTGTCCTTGTTGAACCTCGTGAGATTTCTTTTGGTCCAATCCTCCAATTTGTTGAGGTCTCTCTGAATCCTAACTCTACCCTTGAGTGTGTCTTCTACCCCCCGCAGCTTAGTCTCATCTACAAACTTGCTAAGGGTGCACTCCATCCCATCTTCCAGGTCACTGATAAAGATATTGAACAAAACCAGCCCTAGGACCAACCCCATGGGGCACTTAACTTGATACTGACTGCCAGGTAGACATCAAGCTACTGATTACTACCCTTTGAGCTCAAGGGTCCAACCAGTTTTCCATCCATCTTATAAACCATTCATCTAGCCTATACCTCCTTAGATTGCTGGTGAGAATGTTGTGGGAGACAATATCAAAAGCACTGCTAAATTCAAGGTATATTATGTCCACTGCTTCTCCCATTGACAGAGCTAGTCATCCTATCATAGCAGGCAATCAGGTTGGTCAGGCATGACTTGCCCTTGCTGAATCCATGCTGACTGTTTCTGATCACTTTCTTCTCCAGGTGCTTAAAATGGATTTCTTGAGGACCTGCTCGATGATTTTTTTCAGGGACTGAGGCGAGGCTGACTCATCTGTAGGTCCCTGGATCCTCCTTCTTCCCTTTCTTAAAGATGGGCACTATATTTGCTCTTTTCCAGTCATCAGGGACCTCCCCTGATCACCATGAGTTTTCAGAGATAACGGCCAGCAACTCTGTAATCACATCAGCCAACTTCCTTAGCACCTCAGAGGCCTCTTGTCTAGCCCCATAGACTTGTACACATCCAGCTTTTCTAAAGGGTCCTTAACCCGTTCTTTTGCTACTTTTGGCTGGTCACCTCCTCCCCAAATCATGCTGCCAGGTGTAGTAGTCTGAGAGCTGACTATGCCTGTTAAGACTGAGGTGAATAAGGCATTTAGTACTTCAAACTTTCCCTGTCATCTCTCACTAGTTGAAACTTGAAGTCACTAGTCACTAGCTGAAGTTGAAAACCACTAGCTTAGTGTGACCATCTGGCAGGAGTGTATTACTCATGAATACGTGCTTCCAGATAATGACATCTTAGAAAAAGATTTGAAAGGAACATTTTAAAAGGAGAAACCCTAAGATGTACAGCACCTGGGAAAAGGAAGGATATTTCTTACTGTGGAGGAAATTAAGTGAGAGACAGCTTCTTAGGGATGTCTGAATGGATGCACACATTCTCCTGGCCTTAATTAGATCAAGAAAAAATTTTAGTCTGGTAAATGCATGTACCTTTCTGAGGGGGCAGGGAGGGGACAGGAAGTTATAACTATAATGTGGGATCCCCAAAAATCCAATGGATAATGCATGTAAATGGCCAGAAATTGTACTTAATCTTTGCCCAGAGAGCAGAGAGGTCTCCAGTTTTCCTGGGGCACAGGGAGACACTGGGGTCCCGCAGCCAGAAGGTTGAGTCAAAATTGCATTCTTTGGTGCATAAGGAGTTCTTAAGGACTTGAAAAATCAAAGAAGGAATCAGAAACAAAATGAAAACAAGGACACAGGAAAAAGAATAAGTAAAAAGGAATGGCACTTTCCTGAAATCCTATAAAGGTAAGATCAGAAGAAACTGGTGTGTATTTCTGAAAAGCTAAACTGAATTATGAGTTACAACTGCAAATGATATAAAAGGCAGTAAGAAAAGATCCTCCTAGCAGGTTGCTGCTTCAGGCAACATGCCTTTCAAGCAGGCTTTGGCCCTCCCCTGATGGTCTCTCAGCAGCCTGAGTATGATGCAGTTGCTCAACCCTGCTGGCCTTTGCTGCCTGAAAAGCCTCTCCATCTGACCATTGTAGACAGTCCTTCACCAAACAGAAGCTTTATTGTCCCAGCCCCTGAGATGGATCCACTGTAGCTTCAGTCTTCCTTCCCAGATTTGCCTTGCTAAAGAAGTTTCCTGCTT